AGTGTGATTGGTGAGGACGAGAGACAGGGCCTTTTCAGTGGTGGCTTCTCGGTTATAGAACTCCCTCCTTAATGAAATTAGATCAGCGTCCACCCTCCTGGCCTTCAGAAGAAAAGTAAAAACTTGGCAAGTGGACAAAGCCTTTGGGCATTAAGCAGTACAAGGAATGTTCAGCGACTCTGTGCAATAGATAGGATATTTGGAATGGCTTGGACTAAGATTGTTGGATTGTGTGATTTTAATGTTTATATTGATATGTTTTTAATTCCATGTCGTAATGTTAAATGATGCCATGTTTTATGATTAAATTGATAATTGTATGTTATTTTCTTTATGTTTCTGTATGTGAGGCATTAAATTTTTCCATAATTATGTTGTAAACCACTTTGAGTCCCCCGATTGGGGGAGAAAAGTAGTATACAAGTGAAGTAACTAACTAACTAAATAAATAATTTTCTGCTCTCCTGTTGACTGTGTCTTAAGGAGTTGAAGTTTCTGTACCCTCTTTGAGTCATCTTGATTGTTGTAACTGGATTACATGGTTATTCATCCAGTGAAATATATTTTTAGGGGGATGTTTCATTTTAAATTTTAATATGCATCAGGTTGTACTATTACTGGCCCCAGTAACACAAATCATTAGGACAGAATTCCTGAGAATCCTTGGCATGTGCAATTCATGGAAACAAGAATGTATGTATGTGTATTTTATAAGACTCAAGAAAATAATATAAATCAGGATAATATGTTTTCTAATGGAGTAAATTGTCTATACTTTATAGCATATATAGCATTTAACAGTAATGTTATCAGCACATTATAAGTAAATGTAGGTTATCTTATCAACATAAAGTAATGAATAGTAGACTAGAGACAATAAAGTCCATCCTTTCCTGGAGTAGATTTCAGTGCAGGAATTCAACAGTCTCTGTCTTTACCCTCAAAAGAATTCTTCTTTTAGCAACACAGTCTTTTAAGGAGTACTTCTTATGCAGCAGAGTCTTCCTTAGGTAACACAATTTCTACAAGGTCTCCCGGTATGTTCTCCTTGTTTCGAAAAATTATCTTCTTCAGGATGTTATCACATATATATAATGCACTAAATAAAGGAGTAAAAATAACATACACAATAGATACATGAAACTCCCCAATTCACATTTCTAGTGAAACATTCTATAATAACAGTAAAGAAACACGCTACTCTACTTACACTCTCTTTACACTCTCTTCAATAGTACAGGCTCTGTTCTGGAGGAGTTCTATAACGAGCAATGAGTCATCCCTAGGCTACCTCTTAAGTAGAATTACATTTCACAAGAAACAAGTGTATTCAATTTTATCATTTAGTCCTTGTGGAACCAATGTTTGTAGTTTAAAGATCCAAAAAGATTCTCTTTGTAGAAGGAGTTTTTTTACATCTGCATTAGGTCTGGGTAATATTTTTTCTAAAGCGCAAAATTTAAAGCTATGGTGTGTATGAGCTTTTTCATTGAAATGTACATATAGTGAAGAGTCAGTGGACCCATTCCTTATGCGTGAACGATGTTCATTTATCCTGGTTTTAAGGGGTCTAGTAGTCATTCCAACATATAAAAGCTTGCAGGAGCATTCTAATAGGTAAATTACATTATCAGTGGAACATGTTGTTAAATGTTGCAAGGTAATCTTGATGTTAAGTGTTGGATGAGAGTATATTTTAATCTTGAGTGATTGTTGACAACAGTTACAGTGTCCACAGCTAGTGTGACCCCTAGTGGTAAGATTGTGGGATGTAGTAGGAGAGTTATATTCAGAATGGATCAAAAGGTCCCTTAAATTTCTGGATCTTTTGTGTGCAATTATAGGTTTGTCTTTGCATCCAGGAATGTCCTGTAGTAAATGCCAATGTTTTGAAATAATTTTAGTGATTTTAGATTAATATTGTGTGAGTGTCAAAGGCCATATTATGCGGTTATTATGTTTTCTAGGGCGTTCCCGTAGTAACTCCCCTCTGTTGATGGAGTTCGCCTTACTCATGGCTGTGTTGAGTATCTTATTAGGATATCCTCTCTTTCTGAGTTGTTTCTTCAGGATACCTGCTGTAGATTCAAAATCCTTTTGTGTGCTAGAGTTATGTTTCAGTCTTAAAAACTGAGAAAATGGTAAATTTACACATCACTGTGTAAATTATAGTAGTGAGATCACAACCAGTAGCGGACCTAATTTGCAGCTGGATCAATACACTACATAAACACATGAAATTTACACATCACTGTAGCCCTACTAATATTAACTTTTTGGACATCATGGTTTTCAAAAATGGCCAGAAACTATTAGTTAAAAATTATAGCAAACCTACAGATAAGAATTCTATTTTACATTTTTCCAGCTTTCATCACTTTTCTCTTAAATCTAATTTACCATTTTCTCAGTTTTTAAGACTGAAACGTAACTCTAGCACACAAAAGGATTTTGAATCTACAGCAGGTATCCTGAAGAAACAACTCAGAAAGAGAGGATATCCTCCATCAACAGAGGGGAGTTACTACGGGAACGCCCTAGAAAACATAATAACCGCATAATATGGCCTTTGACACTCACACAATATTCATCTAAAATCACTAAAATTATTTCAAAACACTGGCATTTACTACAGGACATTCCTGGATGCAAAGACAAACCTATAATTGCACACAAAAGATCCAGAAATTTAAGGGACCTTTTGATCCATTCTGAATATAACTCTCCTACTACATCCCACAATCTTACCACTAGGGGTCACACTAGCTGTGGACACTGTAACTGTTGTCAACAATCACTCAAGATTAAAATATACTCTCATCCAACACTTAACATCAAGATTACCTTGCAACATTTAACAACATGTTCCACTGATAATGTAATTTACCTATTAGAATGCTCCTGCAAGCTTTTATATGTTGGAATGACTACTAGACCCCTTAAAACCAGGATAAATGAACATCGTTCACGCATAAGGAATGGGTCCACTGACTCTTCACTATATGTACATTTCAATGAAAAAGCTCATACACACCATAGCTTTAAATTTTGCGCTTTAGAAAAAATATTACCCAGACCTAATGCAGATGTAAAAAAACTCCTTCTACAAAGAGAATCTTTTTGGATCTTTAAACTACAAACATTGGTTCCACAAGGACTAAATGATAAAATTGAATACACTTGTTTCTTGTGAAATGTAATTCTACTTAAGAGGTAGCCTAGGGATGACTCATTGCTCGTTATAGAACTCCTCCAGAACAGAGCCTGTACTATTGAAGAGAGTGTAAAGAGAGTGTAAGTAGAGTAGCGTGTTTCTTTACTGTTATTATAGAATGTTTCACTAGAAATGTGAATTGGGGAGTTTCATGTATCTATTGTGTATGTTATTTTTACTCCTTTATTTAGTGCATTATATATATGTGATAACATCCTGAAGAAGATAATTTTTCGAAACAAGGAGAACATACCGGGAGACCTTGTAGAAATTGTGTTACCTAAGGAAGACTCTGCTGCATAAGAAGTACTCCTTAAAAGACTGTGTTGCTAAAAGAAGAATTCTTTTGAGGATAAAGACAGAGACTGTTGAATTCCTGCACTGAAATCTACTCCAGGAAAGGATGGACTTTATTGTCTCTAGTCTACTATTCATTACTTTATGTTGATAAGATAACCTACATTTACTTATAATGTGCTGATAACATTACTGTTAAATGCTATATATGCTATAAAGTATAGACAATTTACTCCATTAGAAAACATATTATCCTGATTTATATTATTTTCTTGAGTGTCTTATAAAATACACATACATACATTCTTGTTTCTATGTTACTATAGATATTTGTGCATTGTTTGCTTATGTGCAATTCATGACCAACCATCCTGGTGCAGATTTCCTAATTGTTCTGCTTGGCTCTGTTCACCACTATGAACAGCTTCGATAACCAGGAACTCACCAGAAGGAAAAACATCCAAATTACTTATTTGGCTTGTTGATCCCAAACAAGCTAGGAATTGCAAGCCAGCTACAATTCAAATACAATGTTAAGCATTTGTTTTCCTGGTCAGTTCCTAGATATTGAAGTTACTCCCACTGGCAGGAGAAGCCATGTGACGTTTTAGTCAAATATCCATAATGTATGAATGAAAAGTCAGTGTATCCAAAATTCTAGTGAATTGTGTTGTGCAAAAGTGTCACTCATAGAACAGATGAGTCTAGTTGAGAACTGGCTAAACAGTTGTTTCTAGATCTGTACTGTACAAACCTGTAGTAGATTAACATCTTATTTCAAAATATGTCAGGGACTAGTACCATATTTGTATGAAACTATATTCACATAGTTTCTGGGAAAAGTTGCTGCACACTGGAAGCCATTGACTCATGGATGGGCACCAGTTTACAGAAAACTGGTGCTCATCCAGTTTGAGTAGCATCTGTTCAGTTATTTTCAGGCAAGATGTAAAGCTGATAAGCATACTTAATGTTGGGTTGCTGCGGGTTTTCCAGGCTGCATGGCCATGTTCAAGAAGCATTCTCTCCTGACATTTCACCCACATCTATGGCAGGCATCCTCAGAGGTTGTGAGGTTTTGACTTAATGTTGTTTTTCTCTAGTATTTAATCAAAAGTTGTATTTTGTAAATGGAGAATTTTTTTTGTTATGAATCTGTTATAAAACAACTATTCAGAGACTATCAAACTTCCATCATCTTCAGTATAAAACAGGGTTGTTGTTTTGTTTTTTTTGAGTGAATAGAAGTTTTAAAATAATTATTGGAAAGAATATATCCAAATCAGTGTTTCCTGGCTAGGAATATAAACAGTATTCTTGTCTTCCTATTCCATTGTGTATGTACTGTTTCACATCAAAGCAACATACGTCTATAGCACCTCAGGTATTGTTATTGCCACAACTGTGCAAAATCTTTTATTAACTTTATTTTTTCATACAAGGGCCTTTACTTACTGGTCATGTTTTCTATTTCAAATTATTTCCACAGTTGTCCCTGTGATTCTAAAAGGACTGACCTATGATGAGAAGAGGGGAGCTTGCAGTGTCGGCTCTAACGTTCGGGATTCGGCTTGCTATGTTTCATGGGCTTTTGCTCGTGCCTATGACCCTGTAGAACTGAGACCATTTGTTCAGCAAATTGCAAAGTAGGTTACTACAGTAAAATCTTCTGTTTAGGTATGTTTTGTTTTTTAAAGATGAGACCAATTTCAGAAAATGCATAGAGGAATGAAATGGTGAGGTACAAGTCAAATATGTGGAATTCTGAAATCCAAAATAATCACAACGGGTAGATAGGGTAACAACACATTTGTTTTCTGATGGTTCGGTATGTACAACCTTTGTTTCATGAACAAAATAAAAATAGTCTTAGTTCTGCCACATTTTTCAGTAATAGAAACTGATGGTACATTTCTGGAATATACTGAAATAATGCCCAGACTTGCATTTTCATCAAGAAATATTGGTAGACTTATTAAAGAAAGAGAACAGAAAAGGAAAATAAGCATCAGGTGAAGAGGGTAGAGAGCTAGAAGGTCAGTGTGAACAGAAGGGAGTGGCTCATGGGGCTAAAAAGAAAAGATAACTAGCCCAGAGAGCCATGTAGACAGCTAGTGCTTCACTGTAGAGGTGGATCCAGAGTGTTGACATCCTCTGCAAGCAAGAGGTGTTTTCTTTGCCTGCTGGGCTATTATGCTAGGCTAAGCATACCTGAACCGGAATGAAGGATATGCAAACTGGCTCATGATCCTAGATCGCAAACGGGGGAAACACAAGCAGAGAGACCAGAGAAGATGAAAATGTTGTTTTTAATTATGTTGTTTTTATTGCTCTTGTTGTGTTTTATACTGTTTTCATGTCTTAATTTGTATTATGATTTTATGTGTACCGATTTGTTGGAAACTGCCTTGAGTCACCGATTAAAGGCTGAGAAAGGTGGTATACAAATACAGTAAATAAATAATAAATAAATTCCCTAACCAGAATATTTTGGGAAGAATTCATTTGGAATGTACCTGTTTATCCAAGGGAGAAAGATAGTTTAACTCTCTTTCCAAGTGAAAGAAAGATTAACAATCTGGCTGTTCTTCTTATAAGGCAGGGGAGTTGCAATAAAACTGAGCATACAGCATTCTATGCTTTAACTTTTTGGCTTTTGCTGATGAAGGTGAGAGAGCATGGGGTTTTCACTGTATCCTTCCCAGAGATTGACTAGACAGACTTTAAATGTCATCTCAAGCTCCTCTAACCTAAAAAAAATAAATTACAGTATCTCCAGGCAGTGAAATAACTCCTGCCGCTAATTTTGTGTCTTGGATTTTACCAACAAACCTACATTATCTCTTACATTTAGTGGTGAGTGCATAAAATGAAAATCTTTCCATTTCTGCTTTCCCAAAAATTCCAAGCAGAACATGATAGCTGTGCTTTCTTTCTTTTCACTTGGCATAACTTAGTGTGGGAGCTCAGCAATAAATCTATGTGTTGAGAATCAGAAACCTTTGAACCAGCATGACACACAGTTTCATCTGTATTAGCACACCTTGGTTAGCAGCCAATAGTAGTAATAGCATGCCTTTTCTTTCTTGTCTCTTAGTTCTAGCCTTAGGTGTGTCACTTTTTCTCTGTGAGGGGAGTCATCATAGATTTCTCTACCATTTCAAAAATGAGTACTTCATGCTTTTAAAACTAATCTCTTGAAGTATCCTTGTATTTTATTTCACTCAGTTGATTTCTGGTAGTCATTTTAATTCCAAAATAGTTTTAACTGCCTCTTTCAGCTAATGGGCTTATTATTGTATTGTTGCAGCCCTGTGAAGTGCAAAATTGTTCCTCTGTTTGGAAGTTTAAACAATAACGTACTTACCTTTCTCTCAGGTTTTTAAAAATTGTTATAAGCTTCTATGGTATCTCATAGGACAGACTGTGAAAGATATGGGGATTTATTTTTAAATCTTCCTCAGGTTTTGTAATTATTTATATCTGAAGAACATTTTGAAATAAATTCCCATATCTTTTTCAACCTGTCCTCTGAGATATCATGAAAGCGGTATTAGTGGGATTCTTATTAAAGAAGCTAGTAGCAAGAAGAACTGCAAGGAGCATGTTGTTGAATATTTAAACTCATAATCTGTTCAGATGTACTAAACATATAAGAAATAAAGGCTGTAGAGAGGATAAATTTATTTAAGCTTATAAAACCCACAAATTTCAAGTCACGTGTCCAAAAATCCAAAATTACTCAGTCTATAAAAATGTGTCCATAGTCTATGCTTATCTGTACCTGATTGACTACTTCAGTGTTAAGTAACATAGGAAGAAAATTAAAAATAGATAGTTAAATTCTTATTGAAATCCCTATGTCTTGATAATGTATATGAATCTTTTTCAAACATTTTTTTGTAAAGTAGTCTATATGAGAATAAGGTAAGTCAAGATGTGTGTAATAGGTAGATTCCATTTAAACACGGCTATTTGGTCATGAAGCGGTAAAGTGATAAGCATTTGTTTTTCACCAGGCAACTGTGTCCAAAATAATACAGAGTTTTGACAGTTAACTGAAAAGCTCCAGCTCTTGAAGTCAGTATGTTTTTTTTATTTGCCTTCTTCTTTCTCCCAAGTAAGACCAAAGTAGCACACAAAGAAAATTAAATAAGGCCACAACTAAAGTCAATTATAAAAAAATTAATAAATTATCAAATTAAAAAACAGCAATGGATTTATGTAAGTTGATACATTTTAGCACATTTACAAGTGTAGCAAGTGAGAGGAAGATATAAAGCACCTATCATTTAAAAACCCTTCCACAGTAGGCCTGCTTTCAAACAAAGGTTTCTGCCATCAGGTAGAAGAAGAACACAATGCTGAACTTTTACCAATTGTGTGCTGGATTTCTGTAAATCTTAATGAGATTTTAATTATACTTTGCTAAAAAGTTCTGTTTAAACTTCAGCCAAATGTCTGGATAATTGCATTGCCTTAATACTGCTGAGACAACTTGCAATAATCATTGGGAGGAAGGTGTGTAAAGACTGGCAGCCCCAGCCTTTACCTGCACTTCAGAACAGTACCATTTTTGGACTTGAAGAGACGAATGACAGTGTGGGAGTGCAGGGAATTTAGTCTTCCCTGGAGTACTGCGTGGTGAGAAGAAAAGAAAGGTGGGGCTCTCACGTAAAGCAAGCCACTTGGCTCTTGGGCAAGTTTAGCCTGCAGAATGAGGAAATATGAATATTGCTCAGAGCTACATCTTGTGCTCTGATGAAACGCTGACAATAATTCTTACAGGAGGAATACATTTGTTCCCTGACTAGTTTGTTCATCAGAGCAATTTCTGTCTGTTACATGTTGGGTAATATTTTCACTCTGCAATTCCATTTTCCACATCTGCTTGTCTGAGTGTTGTAGCATAAACGGAGGTGTCTGAAAATTGTCTGGCAAAGTTCTTTAGCTGCCAGGCTTGTTTGCACATCCACATTTTTGTCATAACGGCTCAGGTCTTGCTGACCTCAGTGACTCATTTATTTTAGTAAATTGGGGTGGGGGACAACAGCAGAAGGAAGAAACAGCTTCTCTGTTTATTCACATCTTCTTGAAGAAAAAATGAGAACACCTAATGCCTCCATGTTGTAATGCCCAAATGATTACTGGCAGAGATAAAGAGTCTTTGCAGTGATTAGTTTGAGATACGTTCAACTAGTGGCAGTGGACTGACAATGTGGACCATGTTCTGCTGGTATTAGTAGTATACAAATGGGAACCCATAACAAAATGTTTCAGAATATTTCTCCAGTGTCCAAAAGGTATATTCTTTTCTCTTGGCACCTTTTCCCCTTTCCTCCTTTATTGGTTTTTAAGCAGAAGCTGGATGGCATCTGTTGGGGTACTTTGATTATGCTTTTCCTGCATGGCAGAATGTGGGGTGGACTGAATGGCCCTTGTGGTATCTTCAACTGTATGATTCTGTGATTTTACATTAACCTGCACCCTCCTCTTTGTGCAATATATGGTAGTACTAAAAAGTTCAGAACAGGTCCTGGATGCCTGCACTAAATCTGAAAATGAGAAACACGTTCAAAAGAATACCCCCAAATATTCCTTTGTTTTAACAAGGAATATTTTTGACATTTCTGAAAATGGTTTTTGTGCAAATCAAGGAAGTCCTGTAGTTTTTTGCTCTGTGCTGATGTGTTGTGTGTGCTTTTTTTGGCTCAAAGTACAGTGGCATTTGTTGGTGGGAAGTGCCCTTACCGTCTTCTCACGTTGAACATCAAAATTGTCAGAAACGCATGATTTCTTGGCAATGAATTCCAGTGTGCCATACATTTTATTTTAAACAAATCTATATCCACAGCCATGAAAATTATAGATTTAGTGTAAATATGACCTTCAGTAATATGATGCGTCTTTTAGTGGTTATTTAAGGTAAATATAATATCTAAAGAAAATATTTGTGCTTTCAGATTTTTTTTGTATGTGTTAGAAATCTAGTGAACTCTAGATATGCGAAAACATGGTCCATTTTTTGCTTATGAAGGAAATTCACTTTAACTGTTGTTTTTTGTTGTGAAACCCCATGGTATATTCCGTAAATAGCCGTAATGACAGTGAACAGTAAGTGATCCCTTCACTACTGCTGTGTAATGAACTTGCTCTTGGGTGTGCCACTGTAAGTCTCTCTTCTGGACTTGCCTTTGTCGAGAACTGGCCTCAGTTCATCCCCAGGTTTGTAATACTTGCATAAGAATCATAGTTAGAGAAAGCAAGCTAACATTAGAGAATCTTGGCTTTTAATAGATTGTTGGTGGTTACAATTTTTAAAAAATGACTTTCTGATTAACAGAAATAGAATGGAAATACTTCTCAAACTGATCTATTAAATCACGGCTTCCCCACAATCAGTCAGTATGGCATGATTCGAATCCACTAATGAATGGAGTCTCCTTTCAGATGACTTGGTAAAGCATTAAGTCCTTAAATAAAATTGCCTCTGAACAAGTCATCTGTCCTAATTCCTTCCCCTTAAACATGAACTCTTCCTCTGTGACTTTATACAAAAACTCTGTGATATTGTTATTATTTATACCCTGCTTTTTCTTGTCAAAGGAGACTCAAAGTAGCTAACAATAAAAAAGTAACAATGTGTGAATTAAAATCTAAGTGAAAAACAAAATGTGTACTGTGATTCAAGAATTAAAACCTGGGTAATTATCAGTAGAAATAGTGTTCAGAGATTTTAAGATCTGTTCCTGACATTGAGGTAATAGAATAGAAATATTATAATGCTCTTTTATTGTTACAACATGTATTATACTTATGGCTGAGATTCATATTTGTAAATAAATTTTAGTCAATGGTGGTTATGTGCAATATGCACAAAATGTGTAATAGAACTGGTTTTCCATGGTCCAGCCATACTTGGATCACAAACAGCTTGTTTGTTGCCTACTACAGAAGAATGCCTTGTTTTATGTTAGATTTTATATCTCCTTTTTTTCTGTTTTTAGTGCCCTGGTTATAGCTGCTGTATTTGACCGTGATATTAACTGCAGAAGAGCAGCTTCGGTAAGATGAGGTGTAATCTTAAAATATTTTTAAATAGTGTATTGTATGATGCTATGCTACTATGACAGCATTGTAACATATTTTCCTGAGAAGTACACTTTATTGATGGGATCCCCCCCCCCCCATATGTCAAAGGTTTTTTGTGATTCATCGTTCTTGTCTTTTGTAGAAATTTGCAGGGCTTATTTCTTCATGAAAGAAATGAAGATTATGAATCTTTAATTAAGATATGGAAGTCACTGTTATATGTTTCTATTGTGGAAACAAGTTGCCCACATCTGTTCAGTGTAGGCAATTCCAAATTTAGTGGAGCTGTTGTTTTTTCTCTTCCCTGCTCTCTTCAACCAGGACACATATAAAAGATTGAAATAGTCATAACACAATTTTTCTTCTTTATGTTACAGTTTATCTCATAGCCTGAAAACAGAGTTAATGTATTTAAAGAAATCATGATCCCCGACGTTTTAAAATCATAGTAATTCTTCCAGAATGGCCTGTGCTATATTCTCAGGTCCAAGCTAACAACACACACATACACTATACCTTGTCTTTCCCTTTCTTGTCCCTCCATTACTGATACTCCTCTTTGCAGCACTGTGTTATGGATTTAAGGGGGAAAAACTACTTGATAGGAAAGCTGTGGAAATAAGACCTTAATTTGTGACTGGTTATTTTGGGTTATTTATATTTTGGTTTAAATATTTATGTAGAAAATAGTGCCAAGAATTCATATTGTATTTTTACATGGGCGGAATCTTTGCCTTGTTTGTTTTTCTCAGGTTTTTCTCGTCTTTTTCAGAGGGCTCACAGAGATTGAGCAGTTAATGGAGGACTTTGGTTTACAGCTACACTTTGCAGCAGGCTTACATTAATCTTGAATAGTTGTTTTACAACTAACTACCCCTTCACTCTCAATCCATCTATGCTCCTTCCAAGACCATATGTGCATCAAGAAGGTCTTTCTTGGGAACAGGGAAGCAGTAGCCACTTGCTTCAAATGCTCATTGTAAGAGGCATTCCAAATGCTCTTGCTTAGGAGTTCTGTTCTTATCATCTGCCCCAACAATTGTAGGGCATTTATTTATTTATTTTGTATATTTCTGTCCTTCTCACACACACACCCTGAGGGGGGCCTCAGGACAGCTTTACAACAAGCACTGATTCGAGTGCTAACCACAGTCATAGACACATTTAAAACAGATCATTAAAATAAATTGCATTAAAAACATTTGATTAAAATGACACCAGTTTAAAAATCATTGCCTTGATCAGTCCATTGCCATACATATCACATTGACTCTTATCCCAATTGCTGCTGCTACTGTTCATATGCTCAAAACCGCAACCAGGTATTTAGTTTAGTGTAGGACTTCCCTCTATCTTAGACCCACCATTGTGTGTATTAGTGTAGCAAACATATAATACATGGTGTTTGCAGGGAATATACATGAGCGGAACTTGTCTGTCTGACCTCCCCATCTTCCAAGCTTTGAATGAACCTCTCTTGCAAATCTCATTACTGGTCCCAGCAGCAGCCCACCTCACATTGCCCTGGGGAAAATGTGCTTAAAAATGCTTTGAGTTTTAAGGGAAGCTGGCATAGCCCCATGGGAAATTGCTATGAGGAGAGGGTGACTTTGTCATGGCTAGCTAACTTGAATCTCTGTATCTGTTAACTTGCATGAAGATAACTTCGATGGTTTCAGCATGGTATCTACATGTTTCAGGTTAGCTGAATATCATGAGAGTTTCAGTCTCTGAACATATATAAACAATGAACATGTTTTAATGTAGCAAAAATGGTTCCTTTTGGAAAACTTACTGTAAAAAGTATTATTCTCATTTCCACCAGCAATTATTATATAGCTAATGCAAGAATCGGCACCTTCAATGGTTGCTATTACTTAGATTTGTTTAAATACATATAGCATTTTCCCAAGACATGGCAAAAGGTAACAGGCAGAAATAAGTAGCCACTAGCATTTTGGATATCTGTCAGCAGTTCATGCTAAGACAAATTTCACATGACTCAACACCAAAAGTGAAGATTAATTTAGTAACCAATTCCCTACTACATCTTTTTTCATGGTTTCATTCAAATTTAAACTGTGCAATGGAGTGATTTTATATGCCTGCTAAATTCATTTTCCCCAAATTGTTGTTTTCAGAAAGTAGAACAAATTGATGAGTATAATTCATGTAATTTAAGGCTTGTTAATTTGAAATGATGGGCATGCTGTATTATGAAATTAAAAATACACCGAATTGCCCCAAGATATGCGCTCATTTTTCTTTTGAAGTACGTGGGAATTTTCCTGACAGAAGATTTGGAAATGGACTGAGTTTATCATCTTTTCAGAACAGTGTAAAGGTAGAAAGAATGGTAGTTTCTGCCGTTCTGTGTTAATTATCTGTGAAATAAGTAAGGCACACTGAATAAAGTAAGGCATACTGAATAAATGCTCTTGACTATAAATTATCTATTTGTTTGCATCTCTCCAGATATTCATTCAATTATAGTATAAAGTCTCAATGCAAAAATACTTCACTTTTGACTCTTGAGCTGTAAATTGAAGGTGATATCTCTCTGAGTATCCATGTGCATGGGAATATGGAAAATTGCAAAATGTCTGAGATATACACTTTCATGTAGTTTTTGTGAAGGTGGTTTTCCTGTAAAACCATAGAATTAGTATATTTAAACATACCTTTCCAAACTATTATATGTAGCAGTTCAGGCCTGCTTTTCAATCACAATCACAACCCCTGGGCTCATTTTATCTTCACTGTGACTTGGGATAGATGCACAAAATCATTTTTCCCTTAGCTGTTTCTGCTGGTGTTCAAGTTTCCAATTCAGTCTTCTGTAAGGAAGGAGACACCAAGTTGACACTAGTTAAAATGGGTATGTCAGTACTCAATGTTGTATGTTAGCATTCAGTATTGGTCCCAAACCATATCTGCATGCAGTGGTAGGAGAAGACATTCTTTGGCAGTTTCTGGTACAATATTATAAACCCTGTTATATTAAATTGTTACAAAGGAAGAAATGTAAACAAGGAAAAGCTCAGTGAATGGATGGATCAGCATGCAGGGCAAATACTTGTACTGCTTGGGAGGTAGTCATAGTTTGTCCTATTTTCTGATATCCAAATGAAAGGCAGAATTCAGAGATATCAGTGTTTACAAAATGTGCCTGAAAGATTGACCTTTTATTTCCCTTACTCTGTGTCCATTAAAATTGTGATAAATTTCTGTTATATGTAATCACGTGTGCAGATGTTTTATAAACAAAAAAATGAGGCATCTGACTGCATGCTCTGGAGTTTGTATGTTCAGAAAAAAAATGCAAGCTTTTCTTTCCTCCCAAGTACTAAACCATCAACATAACTGGAAAATTAGGTTAATTTGCCCCAGTGTAAAATAAGAATTGCCACTTTTGATTGTTATTCAAAACAGAGGCAAAAACATGTTTTCCTTTATTTATATTGTAGTGTTAACAGTATAGAATAGTTCTTAATGAGAAAGATTACTCATTACTGAGAGTTTGTGTTCAAATCCATTTTTAATATACAGTTAAAATTGCTGTGAAAGTGAAGGCTGAAAAAGAGAATCTTTTCAGCCAAGAAACTGGCAAAACTGTTTCTTCATCTTATAAATATGGGACTGCGGTGGCGCAATGGATTAAACCCTTGTGCCGGCTGAACTGCTGACCTAAGGGTCAGCTGATCGAATCTGCAAGAGGGAGTGAGCTGCCATCTGTCAGCCCAAACTTTCCACGTGAGGATATGAGAGAAGCCTCCCAGCAGAATGGTAACACATCCTGGCATCCCCAGGGCAACATCTTTGTAGACGGCTGATTCTCTCACACCAGAAGTGACTTGCAGTATATTCTCAATTTACATCTGACATGATTAAAAAATTGTAAATCGGCTGGATCACATGGAAGGAGAAGGACCAGTTCAGAAAACATTAGCACACAGACCTGTACAGAAATGTGGCAGAAAAATACTTTTTTCGTATTTATAAGACCCTTGACTTTTCACTTGTAATGAAATGTCAGCAAAAATGGCCAGTTATGGGTGTGTTTATTTTTTTAATAAACACTAATTCTTGAAACGGTTGGCATGTAACATGCAAATATTAAAGAGCATTAGCACACAAAGCAGCAGTGACAAGAAATCCTTGAGGGCATATTCATCCAACAAAGCTCACTTTAGCTTTTAAAATGAAGCCCATGGGTCATTTATATTGCTGCATGTTTGTTTTGAATTCATGATCTCGTATTTATCTGCAAGCAAACCTGACTCATTTTGTATGTTTGTTCTCTGTTCTTAGGCTGCCTTCCAGGAGAATGTTGGTAGACAGGTAAGGTAACTTGGAAAAAATACAAGTCTTTTCCTTCAATTTCTTGTAAATCTACTGTAGCATAAAATTAAATAGACATTTTGTGACTTGTAGAAGTAAGAGGAAGGTTTGGTAAATTTTGATAAGTGATTTTAAAATTATCATAGTGCTACTTTGCATGTACCTATTAAAAACATAATTATAATACTTGCATATATCCGGTAAAAGAGCCTTCAGCATCTTAAAATGCATCATACCAAATAGCACTGCCCTTCCAGTCATCGTAGTTCTGAAGCTTTTAGTGGGTTGTTCTACAATTGTATGCAGGCAGTTACTTCTGCAGAGCAATAAAAGCCCTACAGCAGTGGTTCTCAACTTGTGGGTCCCCAGGTGTTTTTGGCCTTCAACTCCCAGAAATCCCAGCCAGTTTAGCAGCTGTTAGGATTTCTGGGAGTTGAAGGCCAAAACATCTGGGGGCCCACAGGTTGAGAACCACTGCCCTACAGTATCATCCTTACTGGCACTGTTACTGCAACATTTATCTTGTGATTCACCAATAGTGAATTGCTTTATAAAATGTTTGTGTTCATGTCCATCTGTAGAAGCTGTAAGACATGTGGACATAAAGGCAAATTGCTCAGAATTTGGCACAATTTTTTAAGTTGTTTTAAGCTCCAATGCCAACTTTCAAGTCAAACTTCAAATAAGAGGTTGGACAGGAATAAAAATGAAAAAGAAGTGCTTTATTCTCACCACGGTACTTCCCTCCTCGTACTCCCTTAATCAATAATCATCCACATGCAAACTGACTCTCCATCACACAGTGAGCACTTGTCGCTCTGTTGTCATAAACACTATCAGGATGGTGTTTTAGAAGCCTCACCAAAAAAAGAGAGGTTGGGAAAACAGACCCCATATATATTCCTTTGTGAGTATTAGTGAGTATTAGATCGAGGCTGTCTGAGGTGATGCTGGTGAGATTTCTAAGTGGACACAAAGTCACATAGCCCCCTCTTTGGGATTCAGGCTGGTCAGTTCCAGATGTACTTTAGCTAGTAGCTTTATAAATGCAATGGGTGGTGAGGGAACAGGAGAGCACAATTTGTTGTGATGAAAAGCATTTTTCTGTCTTGATTTTTTAGTATCTTTCCTAGTCACATATATAGTTGGCCCTCCATAGCCCCAAGTTCTGCATCTATGGATTCAACCAACTATAGCTTGAAAAAATATTTGATTTTGCCAAGACTGGTGTGTATACATGCCCAGATGTAGCCTGGTCTCTCCCTGGCACTTGTTTGTATTGCTTGCCACTTTATATAAGGGATACCATTTTTCCATGCCATTGTATAGAATGGTACTTGAACATCCATGAATTGGAACTTAACCTCTGTAGATACCTAGGACCTGCTATAAATCAGTGGATCTATACTTATTACTAGATCACAGTGCCACCATTTCTAGTCTAATTGATTATACTTAGGAAAATCTCAAAGACAAAATAAATCTTGAATGCACTAGATGTGTGTAATCCAAGAGAATGTTCTTGCTATCAATTAAAAGGTCAAGCAGCTCAGAGCTGTTGATTAACCAATTGAGTTAGGAAGCATCAAATTAAGTCTTTGCTTAGACAAGCATCTCGAGCTCTGAGGATTGCCTGGGAAGAAATCCCACTGGAACATTGCAGCACACCCAAATGCCTGGGAGTTACCCTTGACCGTGCTCTAACCTACAAGAAGCACTGCTTGAATATCAAGCAAAAAGTGGGCCCTAGAAACAATACCATATGAAAGCTGACTGGCACAACCTGGGGATCACAAACAAATACAGTGGAGACATTGCTCCTTACGCTTTGCCACTATGCTTCTGAGTACATTTGCCCAATGTAGAACACATCTCACCATGCTAAAACAGTGGATGTGGCTCTTAATGAGACATTGCACATTATCACAGGATGTCTACACCCTACACCACTGGAAAAATTATACTGTTTAGCCGGTATTGCACCACCTGACATCCGCCAAGAAGTAGCATCCAATAATGAAAGGACCAAGGCAGCGACACCTCAGGCCTATCCTCTGTTCGATATCAGTAAGCATGCCAATGACTTAAATCAAGAAGTAGTTTTCTGAGATCTACAGAGATACTTGTAGGAACACCTCAGCAAGCGAGAGTCCAAAAGTGGCAGTCTAAAACCCGAAACCACAAGCCATGGCTGATACCAAATGAGGGACTCCCTCCTGGGCACACCGAAGACTCGGCAACTTGGAAGGCGCTGAACAGACTGCGCTCTGGCACCATGAGATGCAGAGCCAACCTTAAGAAATGGGGCCACAACGTCGGGTCCACGACATGCAAGTGTGGAGAAGAGCAAACTACAGAACACCTACTACAATGCAATCTGAGCTATGTCACATGCACAATGGAGGCCCTTTCTATAGCAACACTAAAGACACTCTAAATGGCCAGCTACTGGACATTGTGTGTGTGTGTTTTAAAAAAATACATTACAACTGTACACTTGGTTTGCTTCTGATACAATAAATAAATAAGTCTTTGCTTGATTTGTTTTTTATTGGTCAAATCTGTTGATGATGTGGCTGGGGAGAAAGGACAAAAAAACCAAAAGTAATAGGGCTCGAATAATTGTTCAAAGTAAGAAGTAATTAATTAGAACAGAGGTGAGCAGAATAAGTAGATTTCCAGATGATTTTAGTGGATTACCAAAAGTTTCCAAGTGCTCATTTAACAGCAGTAACACCATATAGTCGTTTATCTATAGTCTTGTAACACACACTCTTCAGTTTGTGTGACTGAGGATAGATTTGTATACAATAGATTGAAAATGAATTCCAGTTTTTATTTGGAAATCTGTCTGGACTCTGGCACCAATTTCTCCAATTTTAAGTCCCCAACACTGCTATTTTGAATATTATTTGTTAAATGCAGTGATGAGAAGCTGCAAAACAGACAGCTGCCTTCTTACCTATCATATACTGAAATCTAAATTAGGGCTTATTTCCAAAGATTCGGAAGGGCATTAAAGAGTAGACTAATGGCTGTGTTGGGAATGGGTTGTCTTTTAATTTGTGAAGAAAAAAATAAACCCCAGTGCACACAACTTTTCTCTTCCTGTGGGACAGGAAAGAAGAGTTTTACTTGATACTACTATCATGAGCTCATATAGTGAATTTTAATTATAGAATGTATTAAAAAATCTTTATGTTAATATGTCTTATCAGATGCCTATACATTGCAGATAGCTGAAATGTGATTTTTCTGCCTTAGCTCTTGGGTATCTCCTCCTCAGTCAATTACCTGAGATTCAGTCTTTCAGCATCTAAATAGTGAAGTGCCTAGGGTTCTTTAATTAAATAGAAATCCAAAGTCATTCCCCACAGCATAGGTTAATGTCTTGTAATATTTGTTTCTCTGGGATTGTGCCATACATTTGAAAGTCAACCCACTTCTGAGTTTTCCTTACTTGGGAAAGTCCTCTGAAATCCACCATATGTCAACAGGCAGTTTGAAGGCACATACATACTCATACACACAGCCTTTCTAAGCACCATAGTACATGACAGTCACATGCACTGTTAGGTCACAGGCTTATAATTTTAAGCACTGATAGCCTTGGTGAATGCCAGAAGTGTCATGGGTTTGGGAGGAGATGTTTGGCTTTATCTCCCTTGGCTATGCCCTGGGAGCCAATAGGAGCTTCTCTTCCTGTGCAAATAAGCAGCTTTGAAGCAGTGCTTCAGGGTAGCCTCCAGCTGGGAATGGGAAGGGTTCAGTTTTGCCTAACATTAGCTCACTCCTGAATTACGGTACTTTAGTAAGTGAAAATAATAAGTATAGAGTTGAACTGGTTCTTTAACGTCATTTGTAATGTAGCCCCAGTTCTCACACTTAACTTCTCCATATCAAGAGGTGGAAAACTCCATAAATTGCTTTTTGTTTAGCTGCTTTTTGTAGGCTGTGTGCATGCGTGAGATATAAGTGTGGAGACATTTGCAAGGAAATAGGCATATCTCTTGTAATTGTTCGAAACAAAATAAAAGGCATGATATTCCAAGACAAAATAAAAGAGATGAGTTCAGTATGGCATATTTCTCGAAAATAACATTTTTCATTAAACCATCCAGTTATTTCCAAAGTAGTATCAATAAATTGAGAGCCAGAGTGATATAGTGGTTTGGTCTACTGCTCTGGAGGCCACAGTTTAAACCCAAACTAGATGACTTCAGGTAAATCATATTCTTAGTCACAGAGGAATCAAAGGTCAATGCCTTCTAAACAGTCTTCCCAAGAAAACCCCATGATAACTTCCCTTAGGTTCACCACAACTCAGAAACAATTTGAAAGCATACAACAAGAAGTATTTTCTTCCATATCGAATGTCACTGTGGAATTTTATGCTGGGTAACATTAAAGGAACAATTTATGTTTGGATAAAAAGGCATAAGAGCTGAATACTCGAAGATGTCAGAGCTGAGACATCTGCAAAAGGGATGCAAATGGAGTGAAGAAAAATGTATAATTCAGTGTGTCGAATCTCTTCAGGTGTCATTGTTGGCACATGGTTAGACCTAGCACTTGTTCATGTTTACTGTATTCAATCCCTGCTGCCTTAGGGTTTTCCCAACTTTTGCATTTAATATCAATTCTGATTCCCACAGGCTCTGAAACTAAAAACCACTCCCTTAAACGTCTCTGCACCCTGAGGTGGCTTTTACCACACCCTCCATTGACTCTTTCTTACTGCGGTGGCAAAGTATCTGGTTTAGCTGGTGAACAGGCTAGTGCTGATTATGATGCTGCGTTGTGGGAGGCAGTCGCTTAAAAGCTCAGTTTTACTTGGACCTTAATTTTACCACAACAGCCTTGGATTAGTTCTCTTTTTCAAAGGGCTTTAACCCTAAAGTGGGTGCAAACCTGCGTTTGCAGCATCTGCTATTTGTCATTTGCTGTAACAGTGAATTTCACAATTTGTCGCCTAGTGCAAAAGACTCTTCCCTAAAGAA